ACTACACTTCTAGCCCACTGATCATGTTTTTATTACTTGTACATTCCATATCTCCCAACTTATTTCCTCTCTCCCTTCACAGCATGGCTTTTGGAGTCTTGCCTTCTGGAAGAAGCGCTATCAAAACTCTAAGCCCCCCAAAAAGTATAGAGAACTAGATTCTTCTTCCAGATGATGGTATAGACAGTTTCAATGTCTGCACAATGCAAGATACAGGGACAAAGACTGCACTATGAAATGTACAAAAATGTACACTTGAAGTTATGTAGAGAAATGCTCAAGCTCCTCAAATGGAGGAAATAGAAATTAGCTGTTTTGCCACCATAGTATGAAGCCAAATAATTTTATTATTTAAAAAAAAAAACCCAGACTCAGGGTGAATCATTTCAGCAATATTTAATTCTTACACAATATTTCTGTCAATGTAGCAATTTTTTTCCTCATTTTCATGACTAATGGAATTAATATGATTTTTTTTTTGGTTTGTTTTTGAGATAGAGTTCCCTATGACCTGGAACTCACTATGTAGCCCAGGCTGGCTTCAATCTTGAGATCTTCCTGCCTCTACCCCCTGAGTGCTGGTACTACAAGGCATGAAATACCATGCCCAGCCTCAACATGAATCTTTGATATGTCCTTAAAAGAAAGGAGAGAGGAAGGGAGAGAGGAGAAGAGAAAGGGAAGGGAGGGAGAAAGAGCTGCTAAACATTTGGAAGTCAGTATGGCATGGTGGTTAGAAATATGAGCTCTAGCTCTGAAGCTCCCAGTCTGAACCTCTGGCTCTGTCAATTCCTAACTGTGGGACCTTGAACAAGTTATCAGCCCATCTGTGAGGTAACTCTGTCCACTCAAAGGAAGTAATAATTGTACCTATCTTGTTTGGTAGTGGTAAGGGTTACATGACCAAACGGATGCACAATTTAAAAGTCTCTGGTATACACTTTGTGTTCAACAAATCTGTTATTATTTAGCTTTACATTTCCCAATGCTTTGACACTAACATAAAAAATAAGGCCCAGATCAAGTCAAGGTTTCTGCCTCTGCCATTCCCTATGTGAGGCTACCCAGGAATCATAGCTTCTGGATTTCAGATGTGTCTCAGCTAGACTCTGATCTCTCAAGTCCCTCCAGCCCTGTCCTTTCTCTAGGCCCACCTGCAAGGGCAATGTTTAAAACAAGGATGGCGGGGGGAGAAATGACCCAAACATCGTATGCACATATAAATAAAAGAAAAAAAAAATAAACCAAAACAAGGATGACCACATCGTCATGTTATATGTAGGATAAAGTATCCTAGCAGAGACCTCAGAAAAGTGAGTTTCTGTTTAATCAAATTCTATATTCGTATTTCTTCTTGTAGAAATCTACACCAGGAAAGGGCTTGAGCACGTTTGGCCAGTAGGGCAGTGGAACTTGGGTTAATGGCACAGGGTTCTGGAAAGCATGAGGTTCTACGGGCAGATCAATGGAAAGGGACACAGGGGAGCAAACAGTCTGTTTCTAAGGAAGTATCACAGCTACAAGATGTCAAATACCTGTGGGTTTCCCTCTTACACACCCTTGCTTTACCATTTAGGCTATCACATCAATAACCTGTAATTATCACTCTTAGCATTGATTGTTGTTGGACCAGCCCTTGTGAATGGAATATGAAGAAACCAAAACCCCCAGAGGAAAGAAGAGAAAACAGAGCAACTGCCATGGAAAGGGACATCACCCTACACACAGTTCTCGCTCAGGGCGTGTGGATAGGATGCTGAAGAGTTTATGTGGCTCTTTGTGGGGAGTGGATTATGAGAACTTGACGTAAGCACATTTGTGCTCAATTATCTACAGGCTGAGTTTGGCATGGCCCCAGCTGCAGTAGGGGGCGAAGGCAAAATGCAGCATAGCTGCTTTTCCTAAATTCTTTAGGTTCAGAGAAGTGGAGAGCAGGTTTCTCTTGTTACAATGTCACGCCCCTCCCCGAGAACTGTTGTTCCACCTTCTTGTTTACCGCTGGATATATAAGACTCTCTGAAGGAGGATGCGAGGCTTTTTGATGGGGATGGAATTGATTGGTTGACTGCTTGCGAAAAGTGGAAGCTACTGCCAGAGCAGCTTGTGAGGGGACTGCTGCTGCTGCTGAGCTATGCTAGAGATTAGAGGAAACATGGGACAGTGCAAGTCTGAGCACTGAGACTTTCAGAGAGAACATGGGACAGAGCAAGTCTGAGGGCCAAGACTTTAAGAGAGATTAAAGGGAACATGGGACAGTGATAGTCTAAGGAAAAAGACTTTAAAGAACAGAAAAGAAGAAAGACTTTAGCAGTAAGGTTTTAAAGAACAGAGAAAAGAAGCACCATAAAAGAAGAGTTATTAGAGAAAAGAAGCAACGAGGATGTTGTGTGTCTCCATCTGAGCACCCAGCAGACCTGGCCCCAACTTGCTACATGTCTCTCTTCTATTGTTTGTCCTTTTCTGCATCTCCAGTTGCCCCCAGTTAGGTTCAGTAGTAATATGAGCTCGAGAAAGCTCTCAAGAGCCCTTTAAACAAATGGTTATTTTCTTGTGTAGGAGAAAGTCCCAATAATATTAAACCTCTGAGCTTCTCACAGACTAAAACTTTTTCACCTAAGTTTTGGCACCTGGAAGAAACATATACATAGCAGCCTGGAAGTCAGCAGTCATTGTTGCTTCTCAGAGCCAATAATGGTGTCTTCCAGGTGGCTCACATGGAGGACTGAAGTCCAAAAATAGATATTTTCTGATGTACAGTAAAAGCACAAATGTTCAAAGGAGGACCCATTATTTCCTTTTCTCTTCTACACTTCTTCACCCTCTGGAGTGTGGCTTCTGTTCCTGTCTGTGTTCATTGATCAGGTCCCCAATGAGTCTATCCACAGGATAAATTTCAATCCTCATCCTATCTAGCCTTGTAGAAGTATTTGACACTGGAAAGTTCTCTTCCTCTGGTTTCTGGGACATTATTAGAGTACACATTTCATAAGGGTAAGGACTGTGTTGATATTTCCTACAATGGTTGGCAAAATGCCTATGTATCATAGATGCCCAATAAATACTTGAGTGAATGATCCAGACTTTCTTTCTTACCTCCTATCTCTGACTGACCTGTTGTAGGACTCTATTCTCTGACTTCCTCTTCCATGGTGATGTTCTTCTGGTCTGACCTGGCCAGACATGCTTCTCTTCTACTTCACATGCTCTCCCTGGGTGACTTCATGCACTCCTCTCTTTGCTGACCATCATTCCAGGGATGCCCACACTTTTTTTTTTTTTTTTTCCGGCTAGGACCCTCTACTCAGTCTCTCATGCCTAGGGACATCTCTGTTCTGATACCACACTTGCATTCCCATTGTCCCGTATTTAAGAGCAATGAACCCCTACCTTACTATCCAGGCCAGAAACTGGGGCATTGTCCATAACATACTCCCTTGTCACTTCCTGCTTCCCATTTCTGAGTTCTGTCAATTCTCCTCTCCCAAATCTCCCTGTGTCTATCTATGTCCACCAGCCTCGCCCAGGTCCCCACCTTCTTGGGGTTACCTCACTGTCCTTTCCAAGTGGCCGGGATTCCCACTGTGGTCTCACTGCTCCTTCCTGCTAACATGCTAATTGCCTCTCTGGCACCTGCTGCTCTTCTGCCTCTTTCCCTGGTTCCCCTCTCCTCAGCCTTCAGTTTCTCAAACATTGCCACCTCCAGGAAGCTCTTTCCTGGCCCTGCCCACCCCAAATCAGGTGCTCTTGCTTTGTGCTCTAAGTGTCTTGAGGGTTCTGCCAGAACATTCGTTCCCCATATGATATCATCATTTCCTACTTAATGGTGGCATCCCCTGCTGTATGTGTCTTGGTGGCCTATTATTTTAGCTCCTGAAGGTAGAAGAGTTAACCATGAAGATATTCATAAACACTTCTGAGTGGCTCACCTCTGTAATCCTAGGTACACAGGAGGCAAAGATCAGGATGATCATGCTTTGAGGCCAGCCCAGTCAAAAAGCGAGTCTCTGTCCTTAAAATACCCAACACAAAAAAGGGATGGCACAGTGACTTAAGTGGTAGAGCACCTGCCTAGCAAGCATCAGGCTCTGAGTTCAAACCCTAGAAGTGCCAAAAAAATTCATAAACACTTCTCAGTGAGTAAATGAGAGTCAATGTGCAAATTTATAAAATTCTTAAGTTGAAACTGGATGATATCATTCTAAAAATTTAATTAAAAACAAAAAGCTAAAAAAAAAAATCCTTGAGTTTAGTTTTCGAATGGAATAGTCAAAAAAAGGTCCTTCATTTCACAGCTGATGGATAGGAATAAGTGAGAGCCTAGAGGTGCTTTTTACACAAGCACATGCTGCTTTGGGATAGCTGAGATTTACAGAAAAGGAAGTTACTTCCTGAACTCTTCTTTGGACCAACCCTCCAAGTTGACTCTGTCTATATAATCTTGTAAAATAAACTAAATGTGACTGAAATATTACCTAATATCCAGCGAGTCAGGAAAGATGTAGTCTCTTCATTCCTAATTTTTAAAGCAAAAAATACTCCAACTCTATCTTAACATTTTATTGTTGGAAGAGAGTTTGAAGCTCATCCAAGCCAACATTTTGTAGGTAAGAAAACAGGCTGAATGAAGCAAAGAAACTTAAGGTCACACATTGCTAGCTGGTGGTAACATGGCATTGGGACCCTGCTTCCTTGACCTGCAGGAGAGCATTCTGAACTGTAGCTGCCACTTTTGTTAAGTTTACTGTGCAGGTAGCTGTGTGTTCAGAGCAGTCTGCACATGGGATGTGTCAACCACATTTATAACATAACCATTTTGTTATTCGGAGATCTGAAGAAGGGAAATGAAGGAGTATACTTTTCACTTGAAAAAGGTGCTTCTTGGGCACAGTGGGGCAATGAGAAGAATCACAGTGGTAGAAGACAAGAAAGGAAGAACTGACACAGAGGTAGTGCGCCAGCACACTGCCAGGAATGCAGTGGGCGGGTGCCACAGTGCTTACCTTTTCTTTGTCACTAGCTTCTCTAGCCACTGTAGAGCCCTGAAACACAAGGAAATAACAAAAATGTATACAAGTAGACATCAAGTTTCATGTGTATAAAATATGAAAATGGTCCTTCAAGAGCAGAGAATAAAAGTGCCATTCTGCTCTACTCCATTCCCTCCCGTGTCCTCTCTTCCCCATTTCAGCTCTCTCCCCCGTCTGTGGCCTTTCCTGTAGGTATAATTGTCCACCACCCCACTCTCTTCCTGTCCTGTCCCCATTCATGCACACCCGCCTTATTTTTCTCTGGTTTTTATCCATGTGCTAGAAATCAGAAGATCTGACAATCACTCGAGCAATAGCTTTACTAAAGTCTGGATCAAAACTACATTAATGTAGTTGATGGTTGATCTGACTATCATTAAAGGAGAAACAGGCCTCAGCTGGCTATGGTGGCTGCCAGGGCATTAAACTCCTCATTCCCCACATCATATCTTTCTGACTGCCTTCTCTGTACCACTGACCATCTTCTTCCTGAGTTAGACTTACAGAAAGAGTTTCTCCACACATACTCTAAGCAAGTCTTCTGTGGGACTTTCTGACCCCCTTTACGTTAGGGATTCCTTCAAAGACACACATGCACTTGTACTTCTTTTGTGCCAGGCCCTATGCTGAGCACAGAGGTGCAAAGTGGAGGAAAACACAGCCCTTGATCTCAGCAGGGTATGGTCTACTGCAGAGGTTTTCAAAACTAGCCTCAGAGCTCTGGGTTATCCAAGATGATCAAGTCCATCTCAGATGCTGAAAGGGAGGCTCTGGAGGTAGGGTTTGAGCAGAGAAAATTTCTTTTTTTGTGAAAGATTTTAATGAAAAAAACAAAAAGCTTGGAAACAAATAATATAACAGTCATTGCTTAGTCTCGGTGCTCCAGTGCAATGTCTTACCCACAGCAGATGCTTGGTGGTTAGTGAATAAATGGTTGGAAAAGGATCACAGGGCAATTACTGGTTTCCCTTCCCAGAGCACTGTATGCCTGGGCTACTACTAAGTCAGTGGAGCTATTTGTTAACCCAACCACTTCTTAAATATACAGCTATTGCCCTGGAATACTTAAGTGAGCCAATCATTAAGGAACTTACATTTGCCTTGGGCAAAGCGAAAGTAGCTCCTAGTTTGGTCATTCACAGAGCGATCTAAATTTTTATACATTATCAGCTTTCATTAAACAGCTCAGGCATTGATAAGGATGTGCGTGGCCTGAAGTTCACAGATGTAGAAACTCACTTGGGCTGAAGAGGCTCCTAGTGTTGGGGAAAGGGTCAAGACCAGGCTCAGGTCCCCCTGTCACTTCTCCTCCCCTGGTGCTTAGCATCCCCAGGACTGGTGGGTATGAACACCCTATTGGTGGCCCAGGGAAGAACCTAGCCTTGCCATTTCAATGGTTTACTTTCCTCCCTTCAGGGATTCCTGAATATGGACCACCAATATCTTTCTTTATACAATGATTTCTAACATTGTTTCCAGAGTAAGAAAAAAAAAAGTGGTATGGGCATCTGTAATACTTGAACACTGCCTATGTTTCTGAGCAGGGAAGAAACTATTTATTTTACTTTTGTATCCTTAACCAAATTGTTGACTTTCTCTCTTACAATAAAATTCGCCCTACCTCTGATTCTCAGCAAAGCTTCAAGTCCATGTAAATGTGGATCATGTGCCCAGAAAAAAAAAGGCTTAATGCACAATAAATTTTTGTTTTAAAAAAAGAGAAAAGCAAGGTTAGTGTTTAAGGCCAAGAGCTGGAGTCATGAAATGAGGCCAACTGTACACTGCAACTGAAAACACTGGCAAGACAGTCTTTTTAATCTACAAACTATAGAGGGGAATGAAATTGTGAAATGCAGAACAAATTAAAATATCAATATGCAATCTGCATGTATAACTTATATCTAGACATGTTTATGAGATGCCTACTTGTAGGCATTTTGGGGGCTAAAAAATTAGGTTGGACAAAATGCTTACATTTAAGGCATTCATACAATAACAGAATGGATGAGACAATGGGTACTAAAATGCTATGTCTTATGCTAGATGTGACATACTACTCTCACTTAATCCTCCCTACAACCCTAGAAATGTAGGTCAAATTATACCTGTTTTAACAGATGAGGAAACTGAGACTCAAAGGTTCAGCAATGAGAGTACAGTTAGTAAGTCATAAAAGGAGCACTTGTGGCTTCAGAAGTCACTCTGGCTTTTTGACATTCACAGCAGCACACAGTCTAGAAATACTGAACAGAGTGTACTGAGCATCACTGCAAAGGCTTCATGAAAGAGCTGGTACTGGCAAGAGCCCTGACAATTCCAAGAGAACCAAATGGCTTGAGCTAAGGTTTGAGCACAGGGCAGGGCCAGGCTATATGTGGGAGGTTGCTCTAGTCTATCTGGAGTTGAGAAGTTAGGAGATAAGCCTACACCATTTCCTTCATTCCTTAAAGATACACCATTTCCTTCATTCCTTAAAGAATCCTGGGGTTCTTTTAGGGGTCTACAAAGTCAACAGTATTTAAAATTTTTTTTTTTCCAGTACGGGGGTTTAAACTTGGGGACTTGGACTTGTTAGTCAGGAGCTCTACCACTTGAGCCTCACACCCTCAGCCCTTCTTGTTTTAGTTATTTTTTGAATAGGGTCTTGCTTTTTATGTCAGGTCGGCCTGAGCTGTGATCTTCCTATCTATGCTTCCAGTGTAGTGGGGATGACAGGTGCATGCCACCATGCCTAGCTTTTTTTTTTCTTTTATTCATATGTGCATATAATGTTTGGGTCATTTCTCCCCCCTTCTCCCCCCTCCTCTCCCGCCCCTTCCCGCTGCCTCCCTACCCCCTTGCTACCAGGCAGAAACTATTTTGCCCTTATCTCTAATTTTGTTGAAGAGAGAGTATAAGCAATAATAGGAAGGAACAAGGGTTTTTGCTGGTTGAGATAAGGATAGCAATACAGGGAGTTGACTCGCATTGATTTCCTGTACATGTGTGTTACCTTCTAGGTTAATTCTTTTTGATCTAACCTTTTCTCTAGTTCCTGGTACCCTTCTCCTATTGGCCTTAGTTGCTTTAAAGTATCTGCTTTAGTTTCTCTGCATTGAGGACAACAAATGCTATCTAGTTTTTTGGGTGTCATACCTATCCTCATACCTCCCTTGTGTGCTCTTGCTTTATCATGTGATCAAAGTCCAATCCCCTTGTGTTTACTCTTGATCTAATGTCCACATATGAGGGAGAACAATACATGCGGACATTATATCATGCCTAGCTTTTTATTGGTTGAGACGGGAGTCTTACTGTTTGCCTTGGCTGTCTTTGAACCGTGATCTTCTTGATCTGTGTCTCCCAGGTGGTTAATGTTACATGTGGGATACCCTGGGCTTAGCTATTATTATAATAAGACTTCTTTATTATTTGCCTTTTCATCGTCTTGGTATTGATATGGATACTGTAAAAATAATGGTGGGTAAACTGTCGGCAGTTTAGCCCAAATCAAGCAGGGCACAAAACAGTACTAATAGTATTTGTCATTAAAAACAAAAAAACCCTAGTATTATTTAAGAGTGTCTTTGATGAAACAATAAAATTAATTGCATTCGATCTTGACCATGGTGCATGCCTTCAGAATGTTGTACAGGAAGTATGTATATAACGTACTTCTGTTAATAAAGAAAGAATGCTTCTCAAGAACCATTTGTAGCTGGCACGGTGGTGCCCATGTGTAATCGCAGCACTCAGGAGGCTGAGGGAGGAAGATCGTGCATTTGAGGACAGCTTGGGCTACACAGTGAGATCCTGGCTCATAAAAATAAAAACCAAAATAAAACCAAGGCAAAACAAAACAAAAGAAAAAAAGGAAGAAAAAAAATAAAAAGGGAACATTTTTGTGATGGTTGTAGTTAAAAGCTAACTTAGCAACCTTTTTCATGAAACATTTTTACTTGGAAAAACAATGGACAATTTATATTTGCTCAAATCTGAGACACAAACAAATATTTCCTCAACAATGAACAAAGCTATGTGCTATTATTTCACAACATAACTGACGGGATTTGTTGTCAATGATAAAAAGCTTTTTAAATGAAAATCAAAATTGGGAGCTTGTGAGCTTTTCAACACGTAAGAGAATTTTCTGATAAGATTGGTGGTAATATTAATGTGGTATTTTGATACTACATAATACAATGTGTTAATATTTGGAGAGCTACAAAACTTAGGGAACCAATATGTTCCTAATGAGAAGTACATGACTACAAATCATGCAATCAGTGTATGCAACAGAACAATAATTTTAATAAAAAGTACAAAGCAATCTCAGATTCTACAATGCAACTAAACTTTGAGAAATTACTAACTGTCCAGTTTTAATGTATTATCAAAGAAGAATATTTACAACTACCTGATAAAAAGTTATTAAAACACTCCTCTTCCTTTCCAACTATATTATCTGGGTGAGGTGAGATTTTCTTCAATCAAATAACACTGCAACAGACTGACAACAGAATCAGATGTGCCATTCCAATGGTCTCACATTAATTTGGATATTGCAGAGGTTTGCAAAAATGTGAAACAATGTTGCTTGTTTAATTTTTTGCCTTTGAAAAAGTTATTTTTTAATAAAAATGTGTTCACATATAATGGCTTTATCATTATTTTAAATAAAATAAATAGTGCTCTTCACACTGACTCTAATGTTGTAAATATCCATAGATACAACCTATAGAGGGAAGAAGAGTTTTAGGGTCCTCTTTTATACGTGTGAACAAAAAATTTGAGAACCAACTGCCACTGACCAGAGGTGGGCAAAGTTTTTCAGTGGTCAGAAGGTAAAAATATCTTTGTGGTTCATAAAGGTCTCTATGGTTGCTGCTCAATTTGGCCATTATAATTCAAAAACAGCCCCAGAAAATTCAGAAATAATGGCATGGTGGTATTCCAATAAAACTTTATTTACAAAAATGGCTCCAATTTGAATTTGGCATGCAGGCAGGTCAGTTTGACAATCTCTAACTAGACATTCTCTCCCTGAGTCAGTGATTCTAGCAGTCAGCTCCTCTCATCCCACTTTCAGAATTTCCAATAGTCCCCCTCTCATTCAAGTCCTTGAAATGGCCAATCTCAGGGTCTATGTAATTTCTGTTTCCTCTGCCAGGAATCTTCCTTCAGTTCATTCCTTAATCTCTTTCATGTCTGCTCTTACGTTATCTCAGACAAACTTTCCTTGACACCCTATTTAACACTGCATCCTCCCTTTATTTCTATCCATAGCACTTATCACTTCCCTAACATACCAAATGACTTACTTATTTCTTTACTTACTGTCTGCCTTTACCCATTGGAATATCAGCTCCGTGAGTGCAGATTTGGTCTGTTTTGTTCAGCACACTATTACCAGCACCTAGAACAGTACCTAGTATGTGGCTGGTGTTGAATAAATAGACATAGTATCTCTCATATGTACAGGGTCTTTTGGTAAAGCCAGCAAACATTGATTATTTAACCTGAAGGGGTGCACTGGTAGTTTCCCGGTAGTTTTAAGCTCCAGGCACCTTCCAAGCCATTTTTAAATGATCAATTACAACATTTATAATAAAGATGAATGAACTTGAGTCACTTAATGAAAATTAGTAAAGTTACTCTCACCTTTAAGTCGTATTTCCTATATACAGATAAACGGTGGCTGAACACATTTCTTGTAACAATCACATATATTTCAACTCCATCGACATTAAGCCGGTACATTCCCAAGAACTGGGGAAGAAGGGTGATCCCGTGACATTCCACTATATACTACATAGGAGAAAAAGAAAAAAAGGAAAACCATCCAGTCAAAAGATGTTCATTTAGATGTAAAATACAACTTTTTTGGCAGAAAATAATCACACTTATACTGCTAATACAACAGATGCATGTTTACTACATATGCACAGATTAGAAAATTCAATTTTATCTCTATTTTGCATAACATTACAAACTAATTTTTAACATCAAACCTTTGGTACAATAGTGCAAGGCAAGAGGATGAGTGGTTTGACCTTTCTGAAATTCTTTTTAAGTGAAATTACATTCTACCTAGGACCTCTAGTGTCCTGATGATAATTTTACAGAGTTTAGACAAAGTAATATGGCCTCTAGATCAGCTTCTTTAACAGTGTTTTAGTGGAAAGTAAAGAGGAAATTGTAAAGAGTTTGGTGTCAAAAGCCTTGGTCTAAAAATCAATGACCCAATAAAGAAACAGGCAAATGAACTGAACAGAGCTTTTTCAAAGGAAGAAGTCCAAATGGCCAAAAAGATACATAAAGAAATGCTAAACATCCCTGGCCATAAAGGAAATGCAAATCAAAACCACCTTAAGATTCTACCTTACTCCTCTTAGAATGGCTACCACCAAGAACGCCAATAAATGTTGGCGAGGATGTGGTGAAAAAGGAACTCTTATACACTGCTGGTGGGAATGTAAATTAGTACAATCATTATGGAAAACAGTACGGAGGCTCTTCAAAAAACAAAAAAATAAAACTGTCATATGATCTAGCAATTCCACTCCTAGAGATATACCTGAAGGAATGTAAATCAGGTTACAATAAAAGCACCTGCACACCCGTGTTTATTGCAGCATTATTCACAATAGTTAAATGATGGAAATAGTTAAGATGCCCCAACAATTGATGAATGGATTAAGAAAATGTGGTATTTATATACAATGGAATTTTATTCA